TGCTAAGGGCATAGAAATACACTTCAAATGAGTTATTATCACCTACAATCACTGGTAATTAGAAAACAACAGCATAACTAGCATAGAGCATGCTACGAAGTCACATTTGTTAAACCACCTTTGGCTAATAACTAAATTCTTAGTTTGTTTTTGTTTTTTTTTAAGATAAGGTCCCAATATATAGCCCTAACTGAGTCCTGGAAAAAAAATCACTGTTTTGGAATTGGAGAGATGGCTCAGTGGCTAAGAGCATTGACTGGTCTTCCTAGAGGACCTGAGTTCAATTCCCAGCACCCATATGGCAGCTCTCAACTGTCTGTAGCTCTAGTTCCAGGGTACCTGACACCCACGGCAAAATACCAATGCACATAAAGAGGTAAAAATGAATAAATTAAAAAAAATCACTGTTGCTCATGCTGTCTTTGAACTTGGAATGATCTTCTTTCCTCTGCCTCCCACATACAGTCATTACAGGCATGCACCACATGACCTGTTAATAACTGGATTCTAATGGTCTCGGTTCTCCAATCAAAAGACACACCCTAGCAGATTGGCTTTAAAAATGGGACCCATCTCCTGTTGTCAGCAGGAAATGCACTTGACTGGCAAAAATAAGCACAGCCTATGGGGAGAGAATGGAAGGTGTCCCAAGCAACTGAAACTGAGGAGCAGGCAGGTGTGGCTGTACCAATCCTTGACAAAGCAGACTTCAAACCAAACTTAGAAGAAACAAAGAAGGCCACGTCATACTAGCTAAGGAGACAATCCATCAAATAGCACAACCTTAAACACATCTGGATCATACACTAGTGTGTGCAATTTCTTTAGACAAACAGTACTAGATGTGAAGACTGACCTCAACACATTAACTGTGGGCAACTGTAATAATTCATTCTCAGTAGTTGACAGGTTACAAAATTCAGTTACAAAATCAACAAAGTAACATAAGGGTTAAATGGTACTGTAGAGCAAATGTACTTAGCAGATGCTCTAGAATATCCCATCCAAATACTTCAGAATACATATTCTTCTCTGCAGTACATAGAACTTTCTCTAAAATAGACACAAAGCAAGCTTTAATACATATAAGAAATTGAAGCTGGGTGTGATGGTGTATACTTTTAGTCTTTGCACTCAGGAGGCAAAGGCAGATGGATCTCCAAGTTTGATGTCAGATTAGTCTACAGAACAAGTTCCAGGATAGACAGGGATACACAGAGAAATCTTGTCTTTAGAAAACAAAAGGAGTCCGGAGCGAGCGAGCGAGCGGGCGGGCGGCTGTTGGACGGCAGGAGCGGAGCAATGCCTAAATCAAAGGAACTTGTTTCTTCAAGCTCTTCAGGCAGTGATTCTGACAGCGAGGTTGAAAAAAAGTTAAAGAGGAAAAAGCAAGTTGTTCCAGAAAAACCTGTGAAGAAGCAGAAGCCTGGTGAGACTTCTAGAGCTTTGGCATCTTCCAAGCAGAGTAGCAGCAGCAGAGATGATAACATGTTTCAGATTGGGAAGATGAGATACGTCAGTGTTCGGGACTTTAAAGGAAAAATTCTAATTGATATTAGAGAATATTGGATGGACTCAGAAGGTGAAATGAAACCAGGGAGAAAAGGTATTTCTTTAAACATGGAGCAATGGAGCCAACTGAAGGAACAGATCTCGGACATAGATGATGCAGTAAGAAAGCTGTAAAATCTGAGCCATATCAAACCTGTACTGTTGTAGTTGTTTTAATCTGTCTTTTTACATTGGCTTTTGTTTTCTAAATGTTGTTTTCCAAGCTGTTGTATATTTGGATTGCAGAACAATTTGTAAGGTGAATACTTTTTTTTAATGTGCATTATTAAAATGTTCTGAGTGAAGCTATAAATGTCATCTTTATTAAAGAGAATTGCATTGTGCCCTCTACCTAGTGTAAAATAAAGTCAGATCATTACAATCTTAAAAAAAAAAAAGAAAGAAAACAAAAGAAAGAAAGAAAGAAAGAAAGAAAGAAAGAAAGAAAGAAAGAAAGAAAGGAAGAAAGGAAGGAAGGAAGGAAGGAAGAAAGAAAGAGATGAAGGAAAAAGGAAGGAAGGAATGAAGGAAAAAAGGAAAGAAGGAAGGAAGGAAGGAAGGAAGGAAGGAAGGAAGGAAGGAAGGAAGGAAGGAAGGAAGGAAGGAAGGAAGAGAGGAAATTTGAAATACCTTTTCACATTCTATCTGATCATGATGGAATAAAACTAGAAATCAATAGCAAAGAAACTATGGGAAGTGTAAACACTCATGAAGACTGAATAACCCACTCCTGAAGGCAGCTATGGGCAACACTGTGACCCCAGTGCACTTTGAGAACACAGTTTCATGATGAGTTGATCATCAGAACATCAATAGGAAAAAATGCAAATCCCTAGTATGAAAGGAAAGCAGAAGCCAGGCATGGTGTTACATTCCTTTAGTCCCAGGCAGAGGCAGGAGGATCTCGGTGAGTTCAAGGCCAGCCTGGGCTCCAAAGTAAGTTCCAGACCAGCAAGAGCTATATAGACATCTTGTCTCAAAGCAAAGCAAAACAAAAACAACAACAACAACAAAACAGACGGGACTTCTGGGACGTGATTAAAGTATTTGTAAAAGGAACATTCATAGCTACAAGTGCCTACATTTATATATATGAATGTATACGTACATCTCAAGGTGCTGGTGAGGTAGGTCTGTTGGGAAAGTGCTTGTCATTTAAGCACAAAAACCCGAGTCTGACGCTTATTACCCACATACAATGACAGGCATGGTAGAGAGGGCTTGTCTTGTAATCCCCTAGGAAGGTAGAGATGGGCAGATCCCTGGAACTTACTGACCTGTCAGTCTAGCTTCCTTCAAGAGTTCCAGGCCAGTGAGAAATCCACTTTGAAAAACCAAGGTAAATGGCATCTTTGGGGTGATATCCAAGGTTGACCTCTAGACTCCATACACACACACACACACACACACACACACACACACACACACACACAC